ATATTTTGGGTCGGATTGAATAAAACGACCCGATGTTTGAGTCTGAGTCAGAAAAACGACCCAAACTTTGAGTTGGAGTCGAAAAATACGATCTAAACTTCAAGTTTGAATCGAAAAATATGACCAAACCAAACTTCAAGTTTGAGTCGAAAAATACGACCCAAATTTCAAGTTTAAGTCGAAAAATACAACCCAAATTTTGAGTCGGAGTCGTAAAAAACGACCCATATTTTGGGTCGAGGTCGTTTTTTTCGGCTTGGACTTGGGTCGGAGTCGAAAAAACGACCCATATTTTGGGTCGAAGTCGTTTTTTTCGGCTTGAACTCGGGTCGAAGTCGTAAAAAACGACCAAAACTTTGAGTTGGAGTCGAAAAAAACGACCCAAAATTTGGGTGAGCTCTGTTCGAGCCGACTCGGCTAAGCCGATTAACAACACTATTAATCAATATATTTTAGTGCTTCAATCAGGGAAAAATAAGGCCAGGGATAAATATAGTAGGATTAAATATTGTAGCTGATTTGAGTGCCGAAGCACTGCACGTGGAAAGATAAAAATTAGCACCCATTTTGAAAAATCAATTATTTTGACAATTTTACAAAACCCTTATAAATAATTATATAATTTCCTTTTCCTTTAGCCGAGAATTATTTTATAAAATGGTGAAAAATTAAAAGATATTATCTTATTTTCTAAAATAACACTTTGTTACTATCAATAAAAATAATTGCCATTTTTCCTAAGCAATAACTATTCCTTCCATTCGTGTCAGAAGGGAGGAGCAAACGATTGCTCAGCTATTCTAATTTGAAGAAATTTAAATTAATTTTGCATGATAATTATTTTTAATCTAGCCCCTATATTAATTTTAAAACTCTTTAGAGCAATCCTAATTACAAAAAGTAATTTTTTAGGCAACCATAATCCATTCTTTTTCTTATAAAACATATGCGAATGCATGAGAATTAAAATCATTGGTAAATTAATAGAATTGCAACAAATTTGTTTAGTCAGATTTTTAAAAATGGCTAGCCAGAAACATATTGCTTAAGCTTTGAGATTTCGCTAATAGGATGTCCAAATCCTTGTACATCTTTGAGCAAAATTTCTAGGCTTGCATCTGGATTAAATATTGAGTTAGATGTTCTTAAAAATCTGCTAAAATCAAGCCGTTTAACAACATTATTCATATGCATAGGATTTTAACGAATTTCAGGGCTATACTTCATTGTTCCACGTTTTTTATAGCAAATTTTCATAATTCAAAGTTTTTAGAGACCTTATTTTTTCCTGAATAGTATTTCGGAATGCATGTGAGAATTTCAAAAAACTCCTCCCTAAATTTTTGTAATTTTCATGTAATAAAATTTTTATTAATCATTACTTTAAATAAATTATAAATATTTAAATTTAAAATATCTTTATCTGAATCTCATTTTTATAAAAATACTAGTGCTGCTAAGTAACGTTATTACCAGCGGAGTTATTTCTTTGAGAAAAAAAAATCCATTCTTCCCTTTTAAAAAATAACGAGTAACGCGTTTTTTTTGAATAATTTAAATTTATTCCTAAAAAATATAGGTAAAAAATATATTTTAAAAATTTTATAAATTATTTAAGCCGAGTTTTTAAATCAGATCAACCATCAAAGTTCTTCATATATATATATTACCTCTTTGTTGTTGCATTTCAAACCGTCAAGATTTTTAATATAATTAATATTGAATCATGTTAGTTTATATTCTCTAATAATATAATTTATTTTATTATATTAATTGTACTTATTTATTTCTTCAGATGATTTTACATCAATAATAAAAATAAGCGCTCACTAAGTTTACAGTATGTAAGTGTGGTTTTGCCCTAATTAAAATATTTGTAGTTAGAAATATGAATTCAGATTAAATTCTGATAAAAAAGATTGAAGAGGATATAATTAAAGATTGTAAAGATGATTTAATAAGCTAAAATAATTATCAGTCTTTAAATATTTTAAAACATTCCCCCATAATAACCGTCTCATACTCATCTATTAGTTTAGGGGACAAAAAATGAAAACCGCCATGTCTGATAACCCATCTTATAAAAAAATATTTATTAACTCTCTCTAATAAATACAGAAGGTAAAATTTACTTTAATATGGGATCGGTTCTAAATCGCGAAAAATTGGTAATCTCGCTATATCTCCTGTATAATTTTTAAAAAAATCTTAATATTTCCTCTATTTTTAGCGGTTTTTAATTTAAATACAAATATTTATTTCCCTACCATTACTAATATTATTTTAAATAATATTTTCAAAATTTTCTAGGAGATATAAGCAAAATTCTCAATTTTTGTTTTTTTAGGAACGGGAAAATTTATTAGTATAAAACAATATAAATATAATCGACAGTATTCAATATTTTATTCATTTAAGAGATACTTTTTTGTTTTGTAACTAAGTTAATTATTTATTTCAAACAAATAAATGTTTAAAAATTTGTTAATTTTAGAAATCAGCAAAACTGGTTAACATGTTAGAACAAGTTGCTGTGCTCGTTAAAATTTTACAAAATGTCGGTCCTTACATGTTAAATTTTTATGAACTAATTATCCGGCCATAAAATTTTTAATATCTATATCTAATAATTTTTCTACAATGCCAATTAAGGTGCTTATATTTCTCCTCTTAGCTTTTTATCAAAGATATGTTAAACACCTGGAAAAAAACCTAATCAAATTTTAATTAATTGTAGCAAAGTATAATTCTGTATAGAAAATATCAGTTTTTATTTCCCTTAATGTTTTTTTCATAATATAGATATCTAAATAATATTTAACAATTTTTTATTTTGTGAAAGATATAATATCATTCTTTTATGGTAAAATGTTTCTCTTTATTTCATTTTAATTTAAAAAAATATTAATTATCACATTTAATTCAAGTTATTTTGCTTCTTTTCTCTACTCTCATTTAAAATTGAGATATGATTTAGTAGTTGCAGTTTAATCGTAGAACCTAAATAAGATTTAAGAAGTGTTATTCCTAAAAACAATCATTCTACAGAACACACAAATATGGGAATTGTTAATAGCATTATAATAAATTTTATATATTCTGGAAAAAGGAAATTTCTATTCTTATTTTGTCCTTTCAAAATTATCGTCCTCTAAAAAGTTTATTGTATATTTTTCAATTTTGAGTAATCCAAAAATATATCTCTATTTAGGATCCATTTAATAATCATCCTGAAACATTATATCTATCGCAAGTAAATAGATTGTTCCTTATGAAGACGTGTTTGTAAAGATATCATTCTACTAACGTCAGAGGATCCATCATAACCATCACTGCATTTTTTGTTTGATTAATTCCTATTTTTTGTCAATAGGGCGAGTCTCAAAACCCACATGAAGTCGGCACTATGGCTATTTCTTTCTGCAACAACAGTTCTATTAATCAATTGTTTGATATATGTATTGTATTTATTAGATCATATCAAAAATAGCTTGCTTAATTTTTTGTGAATTTACTATATTTATAGATTTTAATTGGACAGCTCTTAAAATACAAAGAAACCAGCATATTGTAATTTATTAAAAATTAGTATTTATATTAATCAATATATTAGCTTGAAGAAATTTATAAAATATATAAAAATTTGCTCGTGTTATCCTATTATAATTTTATGAAAAATCGGAGATTTGTGAAGCCCTGTCTGATTTTTTATTGTCCAACCTAAAAATTTACATATAAATCCAGCTCATTAAAGATTTTTCTCTTCTCATCATAATGTTTTTCAAATTTGTCCGCTTTACAGATTTCTAGTTAATATTATATATAAAAAACCAGGGTTTAGGCCTGATAAAAATGCTATTTTAAAAGAAGGCAGGATAAAAAGTGGAAAGATACAAACTCAGAGTACCTGATCATGATCTAAAATTCTAATGATTTTGCCACAAATGGGAAATCATTTTAAGTAAAATTGACCAGAGTGATGTATTCAAGATTGTCATCCAATAACAGCTTCTATATTACAGTTTAAATGCTGCCACCCTTTAGATATTATAAGTGATTTTGGCCATAAATTTTACTGATCATTATATTATATGGTCTGACCTAGAATTTTTAAAATTACATTATTTTGGGTGTTTTGTTGTTTCAAAGGGAAATTAGTAGTAAATGAATGCACATATGATTTTCCAATTGATTTGAAATAAAAATTATTCAATTACCAGCAATTTTGTAAAAAAAAAATTTCTTTTTCGAAAATCAGCTCATCAGGTTTATGTCCAGACCAGGTTCTGAAATATCAAGCTAAGAAATTATTAATTCAATCAATTCATTCATATTATTTCATCAATTTCAAAGTCCTAATATTTTAATAGGGGATAGCCTATTAAAAGATGAGAAGCAAATCCAAAGTTTCCCATTTATTTGATGATAGTGAATCAGAAATTTGTCCTAATTTTATGTGGTATGTATCAGAAATATACCTATATTTTGATGAAAGGTCAGAAATTTTTGGTTATTTTGATAAATAACATAATTAAATTCTATATTTAATAGTTTTAACTGTGCACAATTTCTGTAAAAATCATATTATTAAAATTTAGATTTCATAGTATCTCAAAAAGTTTTCTTTACACACACAATTCACCCATTTTCATTTATATTTGTATATTGGTGATTTATGATCTAAAAATTATTTTTCTAAAGGCCAATAATGATAAAAATAAGTTATTTTTCCTATGATGAGCTGGAGTTTTAGTTTGCCAAGCCTTGCTTTGATTACCAAATTAATTTAAAATAGAATTAAGACAAAATTCTAATTTTTGATATCATTTGATGTGGAATGACCCAAAATTATTATGTAAAAATAGTATGCAAATATAGTAACAAGGCAATGTTAAGATAGACAGGAGAGTTGAATACAAATAGATAGCCCTTTAAAAACCTCAATATACCAAAGACAAAAGAAATAATTTGTCTATTAAATAAGGTATACAAACAAAAAAGAAAATTAAATCATTATTTTTATTAAGCAATAATTAATAGTTTGATAATTAGGTTAAAAAACATTAAATAATTATTATAAAATATATAAATTATGTATAAATGTATAAGTTAAAAATTTATTAGTATAAAAAAATTTGTAAAAATGTGAGAATATATAAATAATGGTGATTTGGCAAGATAATACTATTTGCTGCACTAAATAAATACAAACAATTCTACATTAGATCATTAGATTATAAAGGAATTTTTCATATTCAATCTCAATTTTTTTGTTAGTATTTGATTTTTTCCCAACATCCAAACCCAATTCTTGAAACAATTCATCAACTATATATTGTGTAAAATATTTAATGAAATATATATAAAATTCAAATATTAACTATCTGAGAGATCAAGTTTATCTGTTCCAAAATTGGTCAAAATATATTTGAGATCTTTCATACTTATAATTTGTTTCGATTTATTTTTTCTAATTAAATTTACACACATTATTTATTTAATATTTATATTTAAATACCTATCATAATAATTGTAAGCTATGAAAGCAGCTAAAATCTCCTTTTTTGGGTCAACCTTTTGTTTATATTTGTAAGCTATATCCAAGAAGGTTGGAAAATTAATTTCTTTATTACCTTAAAACAAAAATAAATTACTAAATATAGAAAATAAAGGTTTTACAAGGTTAAGATCAGTTTAATAAAAAAAATTTTTTTAATTTGAACTTAAAATATATCATATTGTAAGTTATAAATTATGCATACTATGAGTTTTGTAAAATAAATTTAATTCATTTTGAGTTGCACAATAATTTAAGGAATGCATAATATTAGCCAATTGATGTTTATTTTCTACTATTCCTTTTTTAGCATGTAAGAAGAAACATTCTCTATAAGCTAATTACATTAATTAAAGTTAGTAATAAAAATTTTTTTATTTAAAACTTTCAATTGTTTCTTCATCAAAATGACTAGCCTATTAAATATGTATTATATAAAATATATAAAATATTACCATTTCACAAATTAGGGCTAAAAAAGGATGAATGTAGTTTGATTTTATTTAACATAGTGCTAAAGTATACCCGCATTACGACGGGTTGCTCCTCTCGTTAGAAAAATTTAGAGTCTCTATTGCACTCCATCTAGGTTGTAATACATTAACACTATCTAATTGCGTTGTCTGCGGTAAAATAATCTACAAAATTACCACTTGTAGATCTTCTCAATGTTATTTTAAAAAGGCCAGTTTTGGTATATCTTTCCCTAACCTATGACTTTATGTTGATTTCTCGACTAAATTAAAATTCGTTTTTTGCTTGATCAACGTCCCTAAAAATATTTCAGCTTTTAAATTAATTTTTTTATTATTATAGTTACTAACAACTTATTATTTAAGGACTCTTTCCAATTAATTAAAAGCCTCGAATACAAATAACTGTAAACAACGTACTAGATCTCTCGATCTAACTTCCAAGCATCCACTCCTCCCTTAAATGATCCCATACTTTTTTTAAAAAAAATTATTTGTTCAGTTTCTTTTATTATACCACTAGCTACTCTTTTAGAAATTGCCTTTAGTCTTTTCTTTTTTAGGTATAGATATTTGATATAAACACCCATAATTCTTATAGTTATATGATATATATTTTTGTTTCTACTATTTTTTACACATAATCTACTATTTTTTATCCAAGATTTAAATATGTGTGGGTAAAAATGCTCAATTTCAAATTATATTGATTAATGCTCAAATATGATATTCTATAAAAAAAAATCAGCCAAAAAAATAATCCTAAATAGAAAATTGCACTGGTAACCATTAAGAGGTTAAAATCCTTTTTAAAAAAATATTATTATAGAATATCATAAAATTATTTTTAAATTTACGATATATATTAAAGAATATTTTAGGGCAAATTAATGGGATTTGAAGAATATTTGTGTCCATAAGCGAAACGGCGAAAATTCTTAAATACAAATACGAATTCCCCAGACTAATATGTATTTAAGAGTATATTACTGCAAATAACGAATTTATATAATATACAAACGATTCATTTTTAATTTTATTTGTAGCATCAGTATTTTATTTCAATTATTATCTGACATTTAAATGTAAAGTTAATAAAAAGGTAAGCCTGAGTTTTATCATGTTAAATGTTGCTTGATCCTTTAAATTATAATTTACAACCCTCAAAAAACTTTTCAACAATATTTTTAGAATACTTGAGAATGGTTAAAATAATATCATGCAAATTTATGGCCCATAACTCCGGATCTAAAATTTTGATTTGAGTAAAATATATAACCCATCTTATATAAAATCAATAAGAAAAAATATCTTTGGTCATTACATTGGCTTCGAACATTTCGAACATATAATATAGAAGTTATTAGCAAGTTATTTTTCAAAAAAAGAACAATAATTTTCATATTATATAAATAAATACGCTATAAAATAAAGGAATTTATTGATAATATTTATGTATAATATAACGAATCACTTTTACAATTATGTTATTATAATTTAATATATATATAATCTATGTGGATAAATATATAAATATTATTTTTTAAAACATAAAATTACATTTAAGATTAAAAAACACTTTAAAAAAAGTCTAAAATTTTAAAAAATTATTTATTTAAAAAATTTTTATTATATAAATACATTTATTTGAGAAAAGAGGTAGATAAATTTTTGATTTCTATTTTTTTACAAAATTAAATACTCTTCACTATTTATGATCAGATATACTAGTTTGTATGTACATAAATTTTCAATATAAAAAATTGAATTGAAATATTAAAAACGAAGATAAAACGGGTAAAACAAGTTATCAGAAATAAGGCGATTGAGATTATCTTATTTGGTTGGTTAGGATAGTTAAGAGAAAAATGAGGATGACACGAATAAGGTTTCAAAGCTATCTTTTAAAAAAACAAGACTTGTCAATCATTTTATTTTCAGATAAGTCGCGTTAATCGGCTAAGGGGGAAAGGTATACTTGTATTGTAGTTAAAAATATTCGGCAAAAAAAAAGAAATATTATATTTCTCAAATAAGCAATAATTTAGGCTAAATATTTATAGTAAATTATTTTAAAAGAGAGGACTAGAATTATAAAAAATAATGTGGTGATAGATGAAGCATAAATTGAGCCGATAGAATATTTGATTTTTCAAAATTAAATAAGAACGCAAGCTACCTGATGCAAATTAAAATAAATTAGAATATTTTTGAGGGATTACAAATCGAGTTCATCAAACTCTAAACTACATCAAAAATACTACCATCTGATTTTCTTCTAGAATCAATAATAAAATCATTGCGAATAAGTGGGGACTTGAGCAGTTGTAATTGGTGATTTTCTAATGATTTATGGATCAATGGGCTAAAATTGACGAGAAGGAAAATTATTTAAATGTCATTATTATATGGTTATATCACTTAAAAAAATCTGCCCCTCTTTTCAGAATTACTAACAATCATGCCCCATCCCTAGTTCCTTCCGTATAATTTTTTCAAATATTTTTTCTGCCTTTACCATTCACTATCTTTAAATAATTTCCTTCTTAACCTAATTACGACTTAAAAAAATAGTTGTAACCTATTGCAATACATATTTCGATTACGATTTTCGTCTATGCTAAAACTGTTGGTTTTCCCATTATAACCACGGGCCAGGTGCGAGTACCCATTCAAGTCTTCAAAATACTTTGAATCCTTTCGATCTGACTTCTTTTCGGGAATTTTCCCCTTGACATTCCCATTTCTTTTCCGTTTAAGTTTAAAATAGATGGTTAAGTATAAAGTTGCGATTATAAGGCCTAAAAGAACTATGGCAGACACACAAATAGTGAGAAGTAACCACGGTTTGAAATGGTCTAATGTTAAGTCATTTGACGCTTTTAAAGTGTCGTTTTCGGGATAATAACTCAAGTCAGAGAAAGAAGTTTGATTACCTGAGTTTTATTAAATAAATAATTAAAATGGATTAGAATAACATATATACTATTAATAAATTTAAAAAAACAAAATTTTTTATTTGGCCAAAAAAGTAAATATAATATTAAAAATAGAAAAGGTGTTCTTTGAGAACTGGCGACAAAAAGGCGGAATCGAAGTTAACAACATTAAAAAAACTATAAGCGAATATAATATTAAATTTTGTATCTTATTAAAGAACGTTGACGAACTATCAAAATGTTATTATTTAAAAAATTATATATAAGTAGTATTGGAAAATCGATGGCAAATTCGGCATATTCGAGGTTCTTAGCCGTTTCTTTCGCCTATACTTTATAATTATTGGCTCATTTTTTTGGTTAAACTTAGAGGTTCTTAGCCAATTATTTTGTCAACCTAATGAAGTCTAGGCTTAAATCTCCGCTAAGTCATCTTAGAGTCGTCTCGATTAGGTGAGTTATTAATATGGCATCCAAGTATTTTAGAAAAATATAATCTAAAACTATAACTATTATATATATTTTTTCTTTCTGTATTAAATAGAAGGTGAATCAGATTCCTATGCTTAATTGGCTAATTGGAGTGGATAAATAAATAAAAAAATATTAAGCAGCGATATACGTATTATATTAGCCATTAAAAAATGAAGTTAATTTTTAATAATAAAATTTATAAGAAAAAATTCCGAGGGAACTATTCTGAAATTTGAATGGAATATTTTTTTTTCTTTTCAGAATGGAACGCAAACAAGACATTGATCCAAGTTCCTGTGAAAAAGGATACTATTAAAAATTAAATAACTTCAACGACTCCCCCTTTAAAAAAATTAATTTTTTAGTCCTATCTCCTGTTATTATAAAAAGGTAGGAAGCAGTTATATAAATTCCAATTTATATTAAATATTTTATAAAGTATTTAGTTTTTGTACTTTATAAAAAATATCATTTAAAAAATAATTGATATTGAAAATTAATTAGCAAAAAGTATTCGTCAAGTTATTTGTATTTAAATAGTTATTTTCAAAATATTTTTGTAGATTATTTAGTGTTTATAATTAAATTACTTTTTCAAAAATAAAGTATTTATATTTACATTATAATACTTATTTGAAGTGTATTATATTTGAATAAATTTTTTTGAAAATTTTTACAATGCTGGGTATACTGTCCATAAATTTTATTAGGAGTTGCATCTAATAATATTTAATAATACCTTGAAAAACGATTTATTTATTTAAAATGTGTATACCGATAAGAATCAGCTGATGGCACGCCATTTTGATTTATCGTGTTAAATTAATTTACATTAAAATTTTATGATAGATATAAAAATTATAATGAAAAACAAAATGACGTGCCACCAGCTGAGAGAATGAATTAACATTTTAAGTATTATAATATCATCAGTTAGATCATAAAATATATTAACTTTTGAAGGTATTTTTTACTTGGCATTTTAATGAATCTAAACAGAGCCCAATCTCCGAATATTTTATCGGTAAAACAAGTTGGGCATTTGTCAGTATGAATCGTGTGCAGGGCTAAGGCCAGAGCGTAAGTTTTAGATTCGATCAAACCTGATGACGTGTAATAATTAATATACTTGATAATAAATAAAATAAAAGAGAATAAAGTTTTTTGCCGATACTGATACTGTGAGCAAAATATCGATGCATCTTTGACAAATTCTTTATTTAAAAATTGTGTCAAAAAATTTTAAAAAGAGAAAGAGTTCAAAAAACAAATGACAAAAACAAAAAAAAACGAAGCGTTAAATTTATTTAACATTTATCATCCGTTTATATTTATCGCTTGATCATTTTGATAAGTGAGTAAAATAAAAGGAACACTACAATCATTTTCATTTATGAAAAATGGCGGCTCTTATATTAATTTAACTTTTAAGTTTTTATATAAAATATAGCCCACATCAGGCCTATGAAAATAATTATAGTCGTGCCCCTTAATTTTACATAACCATTTTTGTTGGAAAAAAAAATAACCCGAAAGTTTAACATAATTGTTTTTATCGTCTTTATTATTGCTCGTTAAAACTATATTTGTTCCGTTTAAATCGATGGTAGAAATTTTCTTCGAAAAATCTTTATTGGCAAAAATGAGTGGTAGGTCGCGTGCCCTGGGATCTGTTTGTTTAAGATATTATATGATGGTATGATATATTATTTTACGATTATTTTCTCAAAATTAAACCAGACATCTTTGATTACCAAAAGAAGAAAAAATGATAAGTATAGTTACAATATAGCTGGATGTGACATTGATGCAATGAAATATTTTGTGGTCCCATAAAATGTGAATTAATTAGTTTAAATTTAAGCTTAAAGATATTTTATTTTCTTCTCTAGCCATAAATAACTGTATCTCTCAGGCACGGAACAAGATGGAACCAATCCTAGGGGAAAAAATATCCAACTAAATTTTTTTGAATCATAACAAAATAATAATTAAAATTATAAAATGTCCTTAATTAAATATTCAATCTGTACTTAATTCGAAACTATGTGAAAAAAATATAGCTAGCACCTGTTTGTTTAATAGGAAATTTTTTTATGAATCTTTAAATTTATTTATGTTAATTGATAAAAATGAATATTTTAGAAAAAATATATAAAAGAATATTTCCCATACGTGATGCATTAAAGGCTGTATACAGAAGTCTCCACCAACTTTCATTTCCGATAATGAAGCTAGGAAACTCGTAATAAACAAACAGCGCGTTTTTAGGGTAAAACGACGATTCATAATTAGAGATTATATCGTTCAGCGTAAAATTCAATTTTAAATAATTGTTTTCCCTAGTTTTATAGCCGTATAAAGCATCGCCATTTTGATTTCCTAAAAGTAGAAAATCGCTGTCAAGCCAAAAGTCGTCGGAGTCTGCAACTTGAGAAAAGAGATTTATTGATTTCATCCCAGTCGAGGGCATATCGTTAAGCGGAACAAAATCCTGAAAAATGGTGGTTTTAGCAAAGTTTTCCGTTTTACCAATATATGGAAGGTAATTATTTTGAGAGGTTATAAAGTGAAGAGATTTTGAAGGGGAACTAGCGCTAAACGAGTTGTAAGCTATAACGTAAAAGGTATAATTCGTGGCCGGCTTAAGTTCTTTTATAATGGCTCTTGTGGTGAAGGGGTCGATAATAACTTGTTTTTCCAGGTTGTCTGATGAACAAATGTGAAATTAATCATTATTTAAAAAAATATTTGGTAGAAAATTTTATACTTATAACTTTTTTTGTAAATCCTACTCTCATACTATAAAATATTTACCTATTTTTATTATATTTTTTTCTTCCTATTATAGCGGGTAATTGCTCTATTTATTAGCCGGCTAAAAAATATATCAAACCTAGTTTTTAACAGAAAACTAACACCTCCGATTCCAGTTTTTTTAATATCTCACCTTAAAGCCGAAAAAAAATTAATTAGCACTTAATGCATAGCAAATTTTTTCAGCAGGGCCAGAAATGCTAAATTAGCCGATTTTTAGCAATTAGAAAACTCAATTATACTTCCTAACGCAAATTTACCCAATTTGATAATACCACAAACAAATTAAACTTTCAAAAATCTCGATAATTTAAAAAATATTAATGTATAAAAAAGGGTAGTTTATAAATAATTTAATATATATAAAAAATATGCATATAATTTTATTTAGCATAAGCTGTGTGAAACTCACAGTGTCACAATTTATAATATATATTTAAAAATCGTAAATTTTGAAAAGCGTCTGTGGCCTAATAGGTAAGAGCGTGGCTTACAAATCTGATGGCTTTAAGTTCGAATCCCAGCAAAGATCATTTTTGTTATTAATCCAACTTGGTGGTTCCATTCTTTGGGATTTACTAAATTCCCATTGGACCTGAAAATGTTGTCATTTGCAGACCTATGAATGCATGGGAAAATAAAAGTGGCAGACGCATATCATTTATAAATGGATTCTTTGGCAGAGGTAAAATCCATTATGATCAGCTGTTTCCGATGTCATCCTGACTACAGGTCTGCAATGGGCAAGTTTTTGTGCACCTATCTGCTCATTTATTTAAAAATTTTGTTTAACTTGCCTGTCCAATGTTTAAAAATTATTATATTAATTGATTTGGCTCTTTATGTATTATTTTAATGTTTTTTACTTAGACTTATAAATTATGAAATAGAAAAATAATATTTAATAATAAATAGAAGTCATTTGCTTGAAAATATATTTCAAATTCACCTACCCCTAGTTTTAAAAATATTTTTTAACTCTCCCACTCACCAACCCAATATCTTTCAGCCTATCCACAGACAAATGAATGTATAAAAATTCATTTAGGAATATTATTTTATTGAGCACATTAATATAATTTTTACAATTTTATGAAATTAATACATTGAAAATTCATATGTTCCCTATTATATATTTATATTGAAGGTAATAAATATATCAGAGACCTGTATGTACCATTTGCACAGCCAGCTCTAGATTTTTAAAAAAAATTTTTGGCATGGCCCAGTCTGGATTTTTTAAAAATATATTTTATTTATTTTTTATAGATAATAATGGCTGATATAAAGTATACAACCCGACCTGGATATCTCTAAAATTTTTAGGCCCAGCCCGAGTATATTTAAAAAATTAAATATGGCCTAACCCCTGTAATCAAAATATATTTTTTTATAATAAAGATCATCTTAAAGAATGAATCCATACCATAAGAAGATGCAAACTTATTCAAAACTCTGTGGATAACAATTTAGCAAGGAGTGCTTTGTTGCTTCCATTGTTAATAAAAAAATCTTAAGGAAGGATCCATTCCCACAGTAATAAATATTTGCATTTTATATGTTTACTAGCTGATGTCCCACAAGAATGACAAGGAATTAGTATTCTCCTTAATTTGATGATGGATAAATCAGAAATAAGCATATATGAGGTGTGAGTCATAAATTTACATTATTTTGATGAGTTAATTCCATAATTTTCATTATTCTTATAATAGGTTAATGAAGTATATTGGCATTCAATATGAACAAATATTTAAAACATGTTTGAATATACTTTTTTAAAATTATATTAATTTCCTTATATTTTTAATTTTTATTATTTATGTACTCAATAAAAAATTCTTGCTAAATTGTTATCTTGGAAACAGATTTTAGATATGGACTTTAAAAATGAGTCAAATTGGGCTTCAAGAAATTAAAAATCAATTATTTTAGGAATAGCACCACAGATTGTTTCATCATCAAAATACCAAAAATTTAGGATGTATCGATATTTTTATAGGATCGGGCCGATATTTCACTCATTTTTAAATATCAGTTATCGGCTAATATTATTAAATTTTCTGATCCGATCCGATATAAAATGGTATTTTTAACAAATATTTTAAAGTTATATCTAAAAAACCATTTATTTTTAAAAAATCGAAATCCATTCTTATGTTAATTTTTTTAATAATAATAATTAATAAACATTCTGCCATAGTGTTATTATTTTATGCATTCTGTTTATAAAAGTGTGCGATAATCTTATCGGAATTTGTTTTTAGTGAAGTTAGTAATATTAACAGCCCCATCGCCGCAGGCTGACCTCTGATAAATTGGAAATTTTGATATTTCTAAGAAGAAATCTTCGATATATTAATTTTAAATATTTATTTCAAATTTCATAATATATTTGTTTATTACTTATTATCTAAATAGATTAATGTTAATACTTATTATATAAATAAGTGATTTATAAATAAAAAATATTTTATATACTTTTAGAATTGCAATTGAATTGAATATAAACTATAACTGATCATTATAATATATTTAAATGACATATGTTATGGTGTAGTTAAATTATAGATGTTATACTAATAAAAAGTATATTAAAAATTAAAACCATTGGTATCTTTAAAGAATATAAAATTAGATCCGATTTCAGATCGGTAATCGGCCGATATCAATTTAATATAGGAAATATCGGATCGGCTTAAAAAGTGGTATAGGTACATACCTACAAAATTTATATCCAAATCAAATTTAATCTAAGATAATGGATGAGATAATGAATACCAAGGTAAAATAAAGGGGACGTGTGCTCCCTGTTGGATCCTTTCGTCAGAATCTATATCTTGTGGGCTGAATAAAGGAATTTTAATGTTACAGTATGTCTCTAAGAATTTTGAATAAACAGGAAATTTGGGACAAAAACTATTCGAAATTTGCTATTGAAAGCATTTTTAAAGTCTACTTTGATAATAGCCATGTTAGGAGGATGATTTTGGATATAATACAAATAACATGCGAAGCTATTTTGCCATCTCCCTTTACATCAAATTCTAATTGATATGTATACTTATAAGTTAAGACCATGAGTTATGACCCGTGGCAATTATTTTTTCTAAATAGCCCATTGCAATGGGCGGGATACCACCACAGTGTTTGTGAGTAATCAGGTTTGCCCCCCCCCAAAAAAAATTGTTTCAAATTTATGATGGCAGGTATTTTTTTAAAAAAGTATTTAGTAAAGTTTTAAAAGCATTTAAATGATTCTTTGAGATGAATGTAGATTTTATACGAAGTGAGAGGGCAAAAACCATTGCGTCTGAATGTGGAAAACTTGTTAAAAGAATGATAAATATCATAATTCACAAATCATATTTTTATTCCATATTTTCCATAATATATTTTGCCTTTTCTCTAAAAATTTATATAAATCTTGGAAGAATGAATATGGATAATCTATTCCTCTCATTTGACTATTCTGATTCATCCATCGTCAAATGAAGGTAAAATTTATTATTTATCCATAAGGAGAAAATTCTGATTCACCGTCATTCTTGACGGGTTATCCGCTAGTTATAGTATAAAAAATAATAATTGTATACTGGAATCGTAAATAAAATCGTCGTTTAAGACAGGGGTATAATGGACACTATACGCTAACAAATCCTGATTGCTACCATTCGCATAATCTTCCGCTATACTTTTTTCATAATCAATAGATAATTTATCATCGTTATTCCAATCAATAATCACGGAGGTAGGACTAAGAGAGGTCACTTTAACGTTTTGTGGAGGCCTAGGTACCGTGTCGTCTACATTAAGAATATATATATAACTTAAGTTATATTTAAGATAGAATTATATAAGTTAGGCTAAGGCCAAGTTTAAACACATTATGTTAAAAGAACAAGACAAAAATTGGGGTTTTGCAAATCATTGTTTAAAAAAAATTAAAATATTGAGAGTTGGCACTTTAAAAATTGGTGCGTCTGCTCATTAGTTGCATTGATTTCGAATAATTACCATTTAAAATTATAGGTGTATATATTATATATTTAAAACACCCAATTATTTTTTATGATTACCAAACGCAATTTTTCAAATGTTGGAACGTTTTGGTTTGGTTTTAGTAATTTTCAGCTAAGTCATATTGAAAAAATTAATTTAGTTTTTTTATTTCGTACTTTCATTTAATCAGGGATCCAAACCGTAACGAATTTCGGTTCGGTTCAGATAACTCATGGTTCAGATGATTCGGTTTGTAAAAAATAAAATATTGGTTCGGCTTGCTTTAAAAACAAACGGGTTCGGGCCTCTTCGCATACAAGGATATTATTAGCATTATGTTAAAAAAAGAATATTTTTTTTAATTATTCTAAAAAAATAATATTGAGACTTTTACAATTAAAATATTTGATTCTCTTGTCAAATTATATCTATAAGGAGGAAGAATAAATTTTAAGCCTGAGAACACATCTATATGCTAACTTGGATGGTTGGTACCATAAAAATCGAAAAATAATGACTGATACTTCTTAGAGAAGGCTTATCATTAATCATTTTTAAAAGAGTTAAAATATCAAAAAATTCAAGGTTCACAGGCATTTTTAGAATTTCGGTTCAGGTTGGGTGACAAATATTCATGTTCGATAAATAATATCGGTTTAACGGTTAGGTTTAAATTCCTGCATTTATTTCCTTTTTGTATTTCCCTTTATTTATAAAATATATATTTAAAACCTGATTCTATCAATGCTAAATACATTGGTGGGCTTATAAGGCTTTCAAAATCATCAAGACTTTCATCTTCTGAGGTGCCCTCTTCATATGCAACATACTCCATCATATTTCCATCAAAACTTTCGGAATTTTTCGTAGCTCGACGTGTCAATCTACATTGATAAGTGTTGCCCAAGGTTTCGGTCTCCTGCACGTTAGAAATAACCAAGTCACCTAAGTTGGAAATCAGGCTGGTCCCATAGTAATGGTAAAAATAATAGTAATCGTCGTAAATCTTTGAAAGTTCGGTTCGAATGTCGAGTATTTTTTTCCGCGAATAATTATAAATATTTACATCGTCAGATTTGTAAGATTGACGTGTCTTATTTAATGAAGAATTTAGAAAGGTGGTAGCAGGCTCGATAATTTTATCCTGGCCCAAAACGTTCAGGATTTTGGTAGTATCGTTACTGCTATTTATTTCGCTGCTACTCCATCGAGCCCTCAGTTTTAGCGCCAAAACTCGTGCGATTATCTTCTTTTTGCGTTTCATCATGCTATTTTGTCTGCGAATGGAAAGCGGAACGGGATTTAGTGGGTCTCGCACAACGTTGAATTTGCCAGCCGTTATTATAGGATGTCCGTTGACGAGCCACGTCACCCTAGGAGGGGGTAAACCGAGACCGGCACACTTTTTTAAAAAAAATATGTAATACAATTATTATTTTAATAAATTTGATAGAAATTGGAGGGTACCAGATGAAGGACACCCTTAATTATGAATTATTCTAATATTAAAAGTAGCAAAAGTAGAGAAGAGAATAGATATAATAAAATAATAAAGCAAACTTTATATATAATAAAAAAAAGTATGTTGCGCTTTTGTTCCATGTTTTATCTATACCCGTTTAATTGATGATTATATTTTAAAATTGAATAGGTTAAAAAAGAAAAATATGATTGCTAAAAACAACCTTTAATCTAACTGTTGCACCGCGCTTCATGGACTTAAAATGATCGCCTTTTTCGGGATTCAAAAATTCCATGCTGCTGACGAGCTCCGTTTCATAAGTAAAATGTCGAAGTATCTCAAAATGGGAATTTCTCTGACTTTGAAAATTCTGGGATTTCAAATTTTTGCCAAAATTTTCCCGGAGCCCAAAACAAGTTAGGAGGTAAGGGGGTCGGGCTAATTTAGAAACCATGTTTGGACCGGTAATAAATGGACTATAAGGAAGATTGCCTAGAGTTTCCTGAGAGTCGAGGGAAGATTTAGCGGAGGAGAATAAGTTTTTAAAGTTACCTGAGGGATACACATATATTGAATAAATTTTATGTATTATGGATAAATGTATTATTTTAATAGTTGATCAATTGAATTTAACATATTCACTTTTCTATTATACCTTATTCATTTTAAAACTCTAAAATAAATTTTGTAAAAATTAGTAAAACAATGAAAAACCAGACGTAAATATCATTATTTAAATATTGAAAAGAAAAAACGATTTTGATTGTACTTATTGAATATTATAATATATACCATCTTCATAAATCCAGGCATAGTCTAAAAGCGTTTTATCAAATCCGTCATTTCGTATTTTATCGCCGCTATTATTACCGTCTTTCGCAATATTTGTCTCGTCCTTTGCAAAATTTAGGAAATCTACATCATTCCCGAAAAGTAACATTTGATTAAAATCCAGGGCTCCAGTTTCAGGATCTATGAATTGTTCGGGAATGGATACTATTCCATTCCCAAGAATAGGATTCTCGGGAAGGAACGATGTGGGGATAGTTTCACTAGAATAATTACTCACCCTACCACTCTTTGCAAGATTAGGCGTTTGAAAATTCCTGATATTGGATTCGAGATTCAATGATAATTCCCTGTAAAATGTTCTGATCAAACCCGTCCCCAACATGTAATCCGTGTCGTCAATATTTGGTTCGAAATAAAAATTATCGGAAATTTTTTCTAGCGTTTTTAAATAAGAGCTGAGCGAAAACTTACCAAAAGCTTTTGTGATAACTTTCCTATCCGTTCTCACCCATAAATATTTGAAATTCGAATGGTTGAGAGTTGGGAATTGCAAAGTTAATCTGGATTTTTCGTTAATAACATCTCCAGTTCCCTCCTTATAACTGTCTCCGCTGAGATAAAAATATTTGTCAGGAGATATCTGAAGATTCGCGAAATAATCATCTGATTTTCCTGGAGGTGCAGGAGTTAAGTCGAAATGATATAACCTATTCATGATAGTATCTCTCAATAAATTGTTGTCCGTTAAATGGATCCTAATTTTTCGATAATTATTTTTCTTATCTTTGGGAATTTTTTTAAAAAGGTTTTGTATTGTCGATATTGGAAGAGTTTGGGATCGAATCAAAATATTGTCATTAGCAGTTTCTGAGAAGTAGTTAGGTTTCAAGATGGCGCATATAATATTTGCAGGCCTAGTACCATCATAACATTCAGAAACTTTTCTATCATTATTAGGGTAGGATATAGTTAAACTAAGGGAACCCGAGGTGAGGTAGCTAAATAATATAGATACAAATTTATCAATTTAATTCATTTAAAATTGGAGATAATCATATTTAGGATATATCTAATATGAGTATCTGGTCATATTTTATAATTCAATAAATAAATAAATAGTACATAGTAAGGGACCAAAAAATATTGCTCAAAGGCAGGCTTGCTTGTATAATTAATAATTCAATTTGGAATATGTATGTATATTATTACTTTTGTAACTATTTTTATATGAATGTTGTTCTCATTAGTGATCTGCATCAGGCCTAATTTTTCGAGCCTGGTCCGAACCCAAAATTTTTTTAAAAAAATTTTGACAGCCCGGCCCGAATTTATTTAAATATAGATATTAATTTTTATAACTCAAAATAAATTGATAAATTTAGATATATTTTAAAAAATTTCTAAGGCCCGACCCAGCCCGAATATTCTTAAAAAACATTAGGCCCAGCCCGCAGATCTCTAGTTCTCATACATATCATTTTAAACTAATAAAAAAAAAATTCCCTACACACTCCTCAATTCCCTACACACTCCTCAAAAAATGAATATAAGATATCACCATAGACAAGTTGAAGGATTAGTAAAATTTTAAAAAATTTTAAAATAATGAACTATGAAAATCACAAATTATTTTTCAAGAAATCTAATATAACCAAAGGTCTATAAAAAGTGAATCTAAAGATTTCCAATATAAGACAGAAAACCCTACCTATGCTGGCTGCCAATTTAATTTCTAAACATCATGCCTTGATAGTTTTATTAGTGCAAAGATCCAAATATAAGGGTAATTAGTTTCAAGTCAACAGAGGGTTATGAATGAAAAAGCTGAAGAACACACATAACAACTTCCCCTGGTTTATTATTGGGGTAATATAAATCATATCTTCAGGTTATTACTCCAATCACTCAAAATTCTGGTCATGTCTAGGATGTTGCAACAACTTTTAAAAACAAACCCTGCCCTTAATTTTAGTTATTTATTTTTGATTAATACTTTTCTATAATTTGAAAAGGAAGCTCTGACTTGTTTTGCATTTTTGTGTGTTCATAAACTACCCAATCTGGCCTGTTTTCCATATTTTTCATTGATGTTTGTCTTACTTTCTCCTTGTAACCTTTGAAATTTATCGGAACTTTGCCCAGAGTTACAATATAAGGATATTTATCAGTGATGTGTATCATCCAAACCATAAGCTTTTCTGTTGCTTCCTTAAATTCCTCCTTTTTAGCAGGGTTTTTGGGCACTAACGTTAAATTGGCTGCCATAGTAAATATTGCATCTTGAACGTTGCTAGTGGAGTTTGAAGAAAAAGGCCCAGGTAATTTTAACATCCTCAAAAAAAGTATATCACTGATTGATGATTTAAGTTCACATTTGAATTGATAAGTATAAATAGCTTTGCTGGATTTGGTGATGAGTAACGAGACATTGTGAATTGTATTATGATTTGAGATGTTTATAAGAGTAGTGGAAGTATTTGAGATAATTCTAGGGGGTAAGGAAAAATAATTGGAAAGAAGTACTGAGTTATTGATTGATTTGATTAAAGGGATGTATTGTGAAGATAGATTAGTATCCATTGGATGAACAAGTTTTTGAGAACAAAAGTACTTTGTTTTAAGGTTAGAAAAGATATAAGGTTTAAAGTAAAGGCTGTGAGTATTTAAATCAAAATTGCTGTCATTTTTTAAATATAAATAGGAGCTATTGTCAAACATGGTGACTGGAATTATTTTCCAAATTTTTATTAACAATGAAGATGAACTATTTGTTGAATGATATGTGTAGACAAATAAGTTGAAAAAGGATGGGGTCATTTTAGAGGTATTTTTGAAGTTCCCTAAAATAGTCAGATCAAAATCCTGAATCATCATTGATTTAGACTTGGGGGTAAAAATATTGGGAGACAACTTTAATTTTGTAGTGTGTTTGATCTGTATTTTGTCTTTAAAATTTTTGCTGCTGGTAAAAAGAGGGGCTTCATATTTGTTCTGGAAGCTTATTGCCAATCTTTCAGCCTCTAGTATTTTTTCCAATGAACTATCACCTCCATAATGTATATAATTGTCAAGAATGTCAGACATGAATGAACTCAATGAGTTGGTTGATGTTAATATATAAGAATCACCCAGATTATAAATAGATTCAAATAAGGAGTGCTGTGACAAATTTGGATCTATATCTCTTTCTACCATATTTAAGGAATACCATTCAGTTTCTATTTTAACATTTAATGCACTTAGCATTGTTCCTAAATCATTAAAGAGTATATCATGGCATTTCAAGGTATATGAATTTATATATTTAAGTTGGGAAATGCATTTATTTGTGATCTGATTTGTATCAAGAAGGACATTATACCTGAGATATATTAGAGGAATATCATTGTTTTCATTCTCCCAACTACTTCTAACTGCCAAATTAATTACTAAATAAATAAATTATATATGTATATTACTAAAGTAAATGTAAAAATAATCATTTTTATAAAATATAAGAGTACACATAAACGCTATGTTGAACCTTTACCATTATAATAAAAATTCTCACTAAAAACGAAATATACCTTTTTTTAAATAACATTTGAAGAGCAGTTTTAAAAAAACAAGAGAAACATTTTAAATTATGACTACTATTTCATATAACTAAATTGTTATAGCTAATTGTTCAAACATCTTAAATTAAAATATAAGATACATTTTGGCTTAAAAATAATTATATAAATTTATAAAACTTACTAATTGCATTGAATAATAGTATAAATAAGGCATAATTTAACTTTTGATAAGAGAAAAGCATGAATAAAGATAAATAGGCATTATGACTTATAAGAATTGATAAAATATTAGTTCACATTTTACTTTTAAAAATCTATAACGTAAAAAGCTTATCGTCGAAAATATTGATAGAGAAGAGGGGCGACAAAAACCTAATTTTAATTTCTTAAAATTTCGGTAAGAAGTTAATAAAAATATCTATTATAACTTGCTTAATTGAAAAATATAATTCTTAATTTGCTGAAAATAGGAAATCTGCTGATAATATAAGTCATTATATATATTAAATATAAACTCCAATATTAAAACTATTTGCATTTTACTATATAGCACATTTAAGTAATTGATTTATTTTAAGCGAGAAATAATATTTTAGAATATATACATTTTAATCCCATGAAAAACTCCTGTGGAAAATAAATTCGATGAAAAAACTGCGGGGAAAAAAATCGAAGGTAAAAATCTGAAGTAATAAAAACTGATGAAAAAGAACTACAAAATAAAAAAACTGAGAGGAAAAAAAATAAAAAAATAATTGCGTAAAAAATATTTTAAAGGTTATTATTTACAATCGGATATTATATTAATATTATATCATACTCCTTTTATTATAATTAAATAACGATGTAAATTTTATCCATACCAGATCCCTGCTTGTTAGGTTAATAATTTTGCGCTACCCCTTTGTTTTTTGAGCATTATCTCAAACTAACATAAGTGAATTTTATTAAAAAATATATATATAACATCGGAGGGGACCTTCATGGACCTAACTTTATGGTCGGACTTGGGGCTAAATTTTTTAAATTTAAATTGATAACCTAAAAAAATATTTCAATTTTATCTTCTAATAATAATAAATTTTTAGCATGGTAAGCAAAATGATTAATAAATACCCTTAAATACTGATATCATTAAATATAATAAATTAAATTTTTGAATAAGGGCTTGAGCCGGACTTAGGAATTTTTTTTTTAAATTTTACTACGAGTTCGGGCTGAAAAATTTAAAGCCCAAGAAGGCTGGATTTAATAAATTAACCTTAATATTACATAAATTATCATTAATATGGCATAAATTATCATTAATTGTGTTCTATAAGCGTAAAAGATATATGATAGTAATCTGAAAGTTGAGGATAGTAATGAACTAAAATAATAATCATTAAATATAAAATTAAATAATTTTTCAATCACATCTCCCCTTATTTCAAGATATAACAAGATTTAAAAAAGCAAAGTCATAAATTTAAAACCATAAAAATTAAAAGTACAATGCATAACATTATAATATAATCTAAGAAATTAAGTATCAAAAAAACATGATCTAACAAAAAAATTACAAAGTAAAATTATTTCCAAATAAAATTAAAAAATAAAAAGTAAAAACTCTCCAAATTATTTCGCATATAATATAATCTTCTTAAAATATTATTTACATAATTAAATATAAAAATATTTCCCGATAATCTGTGAATCACTACTTCCACCAATATGTAAATTGCATAAATATATTCAATTATCACAAAATTAAATATTGACTTGTATATGTCTATATATATTGTAATATAGATGTTATTCAATTTACAATGATCTCTATAATTAATTTACAAGAATATATTATTATATAATATTAAATGCGATAGCTTTATATTGAAATAGCATCGTATTACAAATACGATAACCTAATAACATATGATATAATAACCATTTATATTATATTATAAACTGAGACATAACACGAGGCACCTATCGAGTTTCCTCGGATCCCAATGAAAGCTATCTATTTAAAATTTGTTTTTCTTGTCATTTCTTATATGGTTTTTAAATTTAATATAGTATAAAATGTATAAATAGAAGTAATTCTTGAAATATATCTTTGTATTCGTTACCAAATCGCATTTTCTTTTCTATTCAAATTCTTATAATAATATCAACATGAGAATATTTTACAAAAAATTAACAATTCAATACATAACATTTATTACCAATCTAATTGGTTTCGTTCGTATTATTTCGGTTTATCCTGACTTGTAGTTTCTAACTTTTGTGTGTAATACTTCCTTCAGTTTTTTTATTTATGTCATTTTCCTCCCTCTCTTTTAGTTTCATCTTCATTGTTTACTACGTCCTCACTTTGTTGTGATTTTCTCTTCTTTGTCTATACTCCTTTAAACATGTATCATATTTTATTGGCCATCAGTCTATTGTCTACCTGCATACTTTAGAGAGTACATCATCTTGCAATATTCTTCATTCAATTTCGCTTCCATTTAAAGGTGTTTGTTCTCCCACCTGTATTTGATCTAATATTTCTTCTTCTGTTATTGAGGTTACATGCAGCGTCTACATGACAGGATTTTCACTGGATGCAAACCCCCTTCAAAAACCTTTGCCTACCCCCCTAAAAAATTCATGCCACCTTCGGCGGCGGTGTCTCTTATTATTTTTGCCTATTTAATTTATTGGTAGTCTTTTCAAAGAATTTATAAAGGATAACTTAAATTAATCTATCTCTACTACCAACTATTGATATTTTGTGAATATAAAGAATTTATTTTTTAGATAATAAATTTAATTAAAACCTCCATTATTTACAATGAATTAATTATTATGGCATTATGAGCTTGCTGAAATATCTAAATCTTTTAAATTACATTTAAAAGGATATTTATTTGGTAAATAATATGTATGATTGTTTGCAATATATAGATTTGGTCGATGAATTCTAATATAATAATTCTATAATAAAAGTATTTACAGCAATAAATTTTGTCCTATTTCATCTCAAAATTTAATAAATAAACCCAAAATTTTTTTTATCCAACCCCCATTAAAGCCGCCTACCCCTTCAAAAAAATAGGATGCAAACTGTTCTTACCCCTCCCGCTCATGTAGACGCTGGTTACCTGAATAGGTAATCGATATAGCATGTCAGCATTGGCTAGTTATCAACTACTTTTGAATTCTAGTTCTTATTGTTAACCTTCTAATAATAAAGCTCATATTTGTATTCTGGCAGTAGATATTTTTGGTATATGCTTTCCTGGATAAAATAAACTCATTAATGGCTTGTGGTCTGTCTGTAATGTAAACTTTTTTCCATATATAGATTATTTGAATTTTGTAAAACCAAATGTGATGTCAAGCTTCTCTTTCTATTTGGCTATAATTTTTCTCGGCTGCATTTATTTTTCTTGAGGCTAATGCAATTGGTCTTTCCTTACCTTCTTTGTGAAATTATTTCCCCAATGATGCTTTTTTTACTTGTAATTGTAATCCCGTTAAGTAGGCCCAGCCCATACCCGGCCCCGCCTGAACGGGCTTCGGATCAGGTTCGGACCTATTTTTTAAAAAGAGATCAGGTTCGGGCTGGGATGGGCCTAATATTTTTTTAAAAAATTCGGGCCGGATCGGGTCATCTTTTAAAAATTTTTTAAAAATATATCTTAAATTTATCAATTTTATGTTGAATTTTTAATGTAAAATAAAAATATGATTTTATTTATAGAAACTAGACGCCATATAACATATATCATTTATTTTACGTAATTATGAAAATTAATTTCTATATTTAAATAAATTCGGGCCAGGCCGGGCCTGTAAATTTTTTTAAAAAAAATTCGAGTTCGGGCCGGTTCGGCAAAACTTTTTTAAAAAAATTTCGGGCAAGGTCGGACTTGAAAAATTAGATCCGATGCAGATCACTAGTCCTAAATACTCGACATTTTGTTTGAAAAATTTATATTTTTCTATCTTTAGCTTGATTCCATTTTTGTCTAGACATTTAAGTATTTATTTTAAATTTGTTTCGTGCCTCTCTATTTTTCCGGTTATTATAATATTATCTAAATAA